ACGCACGCACGCACGCACGCACGCACGCACGCACGCACGCACGCACACACGCACGCACGCGCGCGGACGGATGGACACACGTGTGCACACACACTGAGGAAGCACGTGAGAGGAATATTGAAAAAAAGTATAGCCACGTGCAATTGCAGATCGTGTGTTCTTTCTGATACACTGCACAAAGTAACTACATACATGATTGCAATGCAGTGTTTTTGTCTCCACATCATCACCAAGAATTACCAAGTGCTTCAAGGGGATGAGAGAGGGAGAGAGAGAGATAGAGAAAGATAAAAAAGNTGTCAGCAGGTGAAAATTTTTCAAAAGCTAAACTTGTGGTGAGAAGAAAAGGTTTATGGCTCCCTTAAAGACTCCTAACTAATGTTCCTATGGCACTTCTGTAGCTGTCAGTATTTTACATGTAACGTATTCGCCTAGCTGGCGCTAGTGGCCACTTGGCCGGAAGTGGCAACTGTGGTGGTGGCGGCTGTCGCTAGTTGTTTGCCTGCGTGTAACTTAGGTTAGGCAGGGTGGCAGCTACTCTAATTGCACCGCGCGCTGTATGGCTTGACCGTACAGGTAAACGTCGGATGCGATGAGTGCTTACCTATTCTGCAAATAGTTGTTGCTACTACGTACGATGGGAGCTTCCATCTTTAATCTTAAACGTACGCGCCATCTCGTGGCAACTTTCATAACGATCCCAACGAACATTCCTTTGAGAAGGTTCCTGATACCATCCCTGTGCATTCCACTGTTTCGGCGTGTATGTGAACACATTTGGGACTAACAGGGTTTACTAGAATCTCACCACTCCACCACAGAGTCACCGCAGTAGACGTTAGATGAGCGGCACTTGTTCGCTGTTGTGTGGAGATACCTTTTATGTTGAATGTTTGTTTTGCTTGGGTCATATAATGTATTGCCTACAGATTTATATAATGTACAGTGATGCAATTTGCTAAAAAAAAGAATGGAAAAGATCAATAAAAATTTGTTGAATCGGCCCCTTTTTGGCGGGTCGGTCAGGTGATAGCAAATGAACAAACAATATTTTTATTATGGCGTTATGTGCACTGTTTACACGTGATTAGTACGTGGTCGAATGACCGCTTATATATGACCGCTATAGTCAGTTATGGTGTGGCATGAGCGGTAAATTCAATCCATTTGGGAATATATACATATCAAGGTGAAAAACAGTATCATATGAGTATGCCTGTGTTGGGGTTGTCAAAACATAACTCTGCTGAATTTAGGTAATGTCGATTAGTCAATTAAAAGATAGAGGAATGTTTAGGGGATGTCACAAATTAGCTTCAGCTATGAAGATATGTCAGATCCAACTTGCATTATAAAGGGATACAGATAGCCTAGACTTTACTATTTCATAGAGCTAAGTACAGGGTCAAGTTTGTCCCGTACAGAATTGAACTGTGCTATGTGTGTGTGCGTGCATGTGTGCACATTTTTTGTATGTCATCAAGATGGTCATGTCATGACAAATATATTTCTGACTGTTATCTTTTATATAATTGCTTATGTATGTAAGTAATCATATTTGATATTGCCATTATCCTAATATTTAATTTAATTGCTTAATTAATTTTAAATTTAATACTGCAGATCATAAAATTGCTTTAAAATTAATTTTTCAGATGTGAATGTGCTATATGAAGATTGTTTAGGGGTGGTTGATTTTTACCCCTCATCTGACACAGCTGTGGTATATCTGGCCGAAGCAGACCTAGTTAGAGGAAATGGCTATAGAAGAAAGTTGGTAAAACTTCAAAAGGTATACCTATAGAGAGAATAAGTTCATTTTCATTACTGGTTACAATGTTTTGTGCATAGCAAAGTTTATGTTCAATTGCACTTTCATTCACTTAAGGAATATTGGTGCTTTATTCGACTAATAACTATACATTAAAGGCTGTGCAACTTCCTTGATGCTTTGAATTGCACTTGAGTCTTTGCTGCCATGAAACAATTTCCCTGGCATGAGAAAAGGGAGACGTTCACCAATGTTCATAATGTACTGTTGTTTTTGCATAGGTCAGATCAGTTCGAGGGGTCATTCTGACAGAGAAGACGAGTATCAGTCAGCAATACTATACTCCACTACAAAGGTTTGCTGTGCAGGAGCTAGGGCTTATAGTAGTTCCTGTCAGCAATCAGGACGAGGCAGCGCACTTCCTCTCACAATTGGCACGTAACAAATATCTCGCAATTGACAGGCTGCTATTTAACTACAGTCAAATCTGTGTTAGCGACTTAGCGGTCACTTCAATATAACCAACCATTGTCTATAATTAAAGGACATCTGGCATTTCTCTAGAAATAAGCTGCGTTCACACGAGGAGAAAAGTTGCGTTCACACGCTAAAATATACGCGGCTTGCTTAGCCACGGCTTGCTTAGCCGCGAATGCTCCGGCTTGCTAAGCGCGGAATCATATTCCGCGCCAACTAAGCCGCGTATATTCGGCACCACGCTGGCCGGGTATTGATTGTCGTGTGAACGCATTGTTCGTGTTGTTCGCGCATTGTGAACGCATTGTTCGTGTGAATTGCGAAACTGTAGCGCTCTAACCTAGACTGCTACCTGTTCGCTGCACGACGTTAGGGTAGCGTGTGGAACTGTCGACCCGGTACCAGTCTATATTATACCGCGCTAGCTAAGCCTCGAATCTCGTGTATCTCGTGTGAACGCGTTTTAACCGGACTTAGCACCAACTAAGTACGGTACCAGCTAAGCCGTGTATACGTGTGAACGCAGCTATAGTGTTACAGTGAGTGGAACTGCTACAGAGTAGCCACATGTCTCTAAATTACGCTATTGGTGTTTCCCTTTAGTGGTCCTCATATATACAGACTTCAGGGGCTGAAAATAGTGGTTTTGCCTCGCAGGTCCGGGACTTTTCAGCAATATATTTGGAAGGTCTGATGAAAGATTTGGAAGGTCCAAATATGTAATCGTATGTTTATTTGGCTAATAGATCGTTTGGCAAAAGTGGGTCCGTTTTGGATACAAAACCAAACATATTACAAACTCATGTTTGCCCTTGTTTGATACAATACATGCGTCGTCTGCAGGCATTCCGAGTTATTCCCACAAGCAACGAGTTACTTCCGGTATGCTAAAACTGAATGCATAGACCTGCGTTAACTTCCGTTATAAACAACCATGCTACTAACGTTGCAGCATACGCTATCAGTACGTGTATTTGACCGTGTAATTTCGATCAGATTTTCGGTAAATTTGACTCTTAGTCTTATTCTTGGTATGTTTCATTGTGAATATTAACTATGATACGAGATGTCGACAGTGACCACAAATCGACCTACTTTCGCTTTATTTCTTCACAATTTGCAATGGTTTAAGGATGTTTTATTTGATGAAAGTGGAGTACTGTAAATTATTGATAGGTCCAACAGACTTTTTGCTTGGAAATTGCGAAGGTCCGAGCATGAAACCGGCAGGTCCCAGGCCTCGGACTTGCTTTATTTTCAGCCCCTGAGACTTGAATTGAAGTGCCAATTAAAGTGTCTTCAGAGATTGATAAATTGCTTTTTAAAAATGAAACCATATTTATTGCCAATTTATTATAAACCAATTTAGTTTAATTATTGTTTACAATTATTATGCTGTTCAAAGGGATGTTCTTCGACATATAATAGTTTGTTGCATATTGTTGCATTTCTAAGATGAATTAAAATTAAGTATGCTTCATTTCTTGTCAGGTGATAGCCGAAGGCAAGATTAATGCAAACCCATTTAGGCGAAAAAAAGCGAGCTGCAACATCGACACCCAACTGCTAGCAACTATGCAGTGCATACCTTGCCTTGGAGAAATAAAAGCGAGACAACTGCTAGAAAGATTCCACAGCATCAAAAGCATATGTGATGCTCCTTTAGAGGTACTTGCTGATCCTTTCCTCTGCAGGACAATGACTGTGGAAAATGAATATATAGTCTGCCTGAGTGCGATCTCTGTCATTAAAGGGATATTACACCCAAACATTTTAGGCTATATTATGATAGCAAGTGCATAACTAATAGTATATACTTGCAAAATTCTATAATCATGCATTCCCACTTGTCAGAAAACAACAGCGAGTTTCGAAATCTATAATTTTGGCCACTGACATGACACCTCATTGTAATGCTATGCTGACGATGTTGCGCTTTTTCCGATTTATTTTGCATGTTACACAGACAGGGCTAATCACAAAAGTACAATTATATTTAAACCTAACTGCTATTTAACCGAACGATTTATATTTTAGGAAAAATTCATTCGTTTTATAATTGAATCTAAAAGTTGTTTATTATTATAAGATATTGCAATCCTTCTCCTCCTAAATGAATAAATAAGAAACAACCTCCGTCTGTAGCCTGCAGCCAATAAGTTGCAATGCGCAGCTTTGAAAGTAGATGTTCTAGTAGCAGTAGTGGCGCCACCGTCATTGTAAGCCATTAGGTTTAAAACATGGAAAAATATTTTTGATAAATATTGAACAATTAATGAAGTTTTTGATGTAGTGTAATATGAACCTATTTTAACTGAAAATATGCAAGGAATCTAGGGTCATCTATTCCATTAATTGAATGTATTGCTTAGGCTGCTGGGATTTCATGTGAGGAAAACCTGATTCTTTTCATGTATTTTAGGATGTAATAAAAGTTGTGGGACCGGCTTGTGCTGCCAGAGTCAGGAGCTTCTACACATCCACGTGACCACCCGAGTAGTGCGTAAACAATGTACGTTTAGTTATATATTGAGCTAGAAGTGTATTTTGTAAGATTTAACACAACTAACTGAGGCAGAGCATGGTGTCTAAAAGTTATTAAATGTTCAAAAGTTTTGCAGTGTGTAGTGTCTATAGTTGTAACTATATGTATTTTATCTATAAAATAAATTTTGTTAGCTTATCTAACATTTCACTATACTTCAAATACTATAACTGTAGTTAATATATATATATATATATATGAATATATGAAATGAAAGGGTTTTAGACATATTCGCTTGATCTTTAGCTCATACTAGCTTAGCTCATGCATTCTATAGATGCATTCCTGCACACATTTTTGTGACAAACCATTGTAAAAATGCAAGTAAATAACTCACTACACTTTAACTGAACGTTAGCTTTGAAGATAAAACTGTAAAATTATGTATCAAGCCTAGTGATGTCACGATCATCGATTATACTCGATCATCAGTTGAACAGTGGCTCGAACCAAGCGCTTGGTTATCAAAATCCATAATTGATTTAATATGAAAAAAAAATTGTTTTTTTTTAAACTTGAACAAGAAAACTTGGAAAAGTGATGCGCGAATCAGAGAATTATGCGTCGGCTACTATAGCAAGTTATCGCTTTATTAACATAACATGTATTATACACACAGTAGTAAACAGTGCAAACAAACAGTAAACAGGGCTAAACAAAGCACATACATGCACACACTTACATGCGCGCAGACGTTACGCACACGCAGGCATTCAACACCCCGCAGTCAACGCGATTGTAAACGGATCATCGTTACTTGGGTCCAACTGATGATCGATTACGAAATTAACAACCGATTGACAACACTAATCCAGAGAGACCGGGGTACAAGATGGCGTTGCGCAAAAGATGCGTTGTTCCCCGACCGCCAAGAGCGGTTAAACCGCGCACTTCCGCGGGACTGGGCGCGCACGCGACGCGCGGTGTTGTATGTAGTATTTCGCGCTGCCCGCTATACGAATTCGCGCGCGCGAAGGAGGGCCGGGCGCGCGAATACCGTATAGCGGGAAGCGTAACATCGCGCAGTTTTCGTCACACCTACACCGGCTCGGCTACGGCGGGCATTTGCGGCTGCTGCTTGCGCTGAGAGGGTCTATGTCCCCGCGGGTAGTGCGCGGAACGTACCCTGGGTACGGTTCGGTATACCGGAACGTACCCTGGCACTATCTAATATGCCGGACCGCGTACCTCGCCTACTCCACTAACGAGTCTAGGGAGTCGCCTACGCCTACTCCCTAACCTGAACCCTAATCCTAACCCTAACCCTAATCCTAACCCTAACCATATCAAATAGTGACCACAGTACGTTCCGGTATACGCGGACCGTACCAGGGTACGTTCCGGCAGTACCCTGGGGGACATAGACTTATGAGGCGCTGCTTGCTTGTTGCGCGCTGCGCGCAGGGGCGAGTATTTTTTGCTGCGGCTGCTTTGCCAGCAGTATCTACAGATTAGCTACGTGTAAAAACTGGCACGGCCACGCCACCACGTGCTCGCAGTATTCGCCGGCCAGCGAAATATTTTTTCCCAAACGGTATAACATAGCAAAGAATATAGCGCCTTCTGATTGGTTGCTTCGATTTTCTTATATATATTATATAAGATTATATGTTTATATTTTTATATGAGGTATGTTTAGGGTTAGGGTTAGGGTTAGAGTTAGGGTTAGGGTTAGGGTTTAGTGTTAGGTTTAGGGTACACTTCTGTAGTACAAGTCTGGTACACTTTGTGTATACATATATGTACCTCGGGTAGCACATCTGGGGTTCAAGGATAGAGAACATGGGTCCCAATAAAACCAATGTCATTTACATCAATATAAATAAAATATAATATTACATCAATATAATAGGTTAGGGTTATGGTTAGGGTTAGGGTTAGGATTGGGGTTAGGGTTAGAGTTAGGGTTAGGTTTAGGCACATTGCTTTTATTGGGACCCATGTTCTCTATCCTTGGGCCCATATCGGCCGTACCTGTTACGACAACGACCCCTTCAGCACTACTAGAGCTACGACGGTACTATACTAGGCCTAGTACTAGGGCTACGACAGTACTTAGAAGCTATACGTACTCGTACTCGTTGACCTAGTAAGTAGTGATTACTAGTACGGCGGTAGACTAGTCGTAGTAGTAGCCTAGTGTTTAACCCTGAGGTCAGCCGAAACGTAAACTAATCGGACCACGGCACGAACATAAAGTTAAACAGAAATTCGGCAGCTATAAGTTAACTATAAGTATAAGCCTAGACCCTCTCATAACCCAAACGGCATGATATTTGGGTTAATTCACTCAAACCCATGTTGTTTTAAAGAAAACATACTAAAAACTACTTTAACCTCACTTACAGAAAGTTCGGTGAAAGTTTTTGGTAGATAAGGAGTTGGATTTTGGCTACAAGTCATGGAGGCTGACATCTTGCCAAATTCCAGCCAATGAAAAGGCGCCTAAATCCTTTCTTCCGTTTGGGGAAAAACATTTCGCCGCCGGCCACGCCAGCGTATGTGGTCGCACGACGTGACGTTGCCACGGGCAGCGCGGGGTCGGGAGGGTTGCTCAAAACATGTCACGTATGCAGCCAGGCGCCGTAACGGCGGCATCGCATTTGCAGATAGACCGCGCCCCCCCACGTGGAGCGCCGTACAACACTTCGTAAAAAGTATTGTGATAGACAAAACTCTATACTCGGCAGTAGTGCCAGTCATCGCGTAGCGGCCAACGAGCGAGCGCGTCATCGCTGATTGACAGCATTTCTTGAGGTTTCTTGTAGGAGTCACTACGTCTTAGCCATGAGGCGCGCCACCCCAAAAAACGTTTAGGGCCGTTTGGAGATGGCCTACTGCTGTCCATCGCGCGAAATGTCGGTTGGATTGCGCCCAGTTTCGCGTAATGCGTTTTCAGACCCCTGTCTCAGATATCTGTCTAAAGTGGACAAAAAGGGGGCGGCGTATTCGCGTTGGGGCGCGGCTTCGCCGCGAGCTGTGCGCTGCGCCGCAAAAACCGGGGCCGCCAAGTCCGTCAAGCCTATATTCCCTCAACGAAAAAAACAACTTGAAAAATGCGTTTTGCCGCGGTTCTGTATCATGGCGGCAAGAGTTGACGCAGGTCACGTATATATCCAGTACAACTATAGATATCATATAACACATTGTGTTATATGATATCTATGAGCATATGCGGCCTTCATGACCTTCAGCGCTTGGCAACACCACATGGCAACAAGAGACACGTCACAACATCGCCACAGTGCGGCAAAAGTCAACGTTGTTTGATACATTCCGACCCGACACTTTTACTTTGCAGTCTAAGCTTTGAATGAACGTATCACACATAATATATAGGCAGGTACAAACGTGCAATGTTAAAATAATTCATTTTGCCTGATTTTTATGTTTGCCGCTTGAAACTTCGAATCAGGGCACCTTTAACTGTTACTTTGACAGATACACACATCTCTTATTTATTTCTCTATTGGGTATTTGGGTTATTTTGCTTGACACTAGGTATGTTTCTTACAGTGATTTATTGGTACCACTGCAGTTGTTAAAAAGTAAAATGCATTTTTTAACTTTTCAACCAGAGATTTTTAGGAATGTTTGCTTGGTGACACATGAATTTTCAATGGTACCTTAAAATGTCTGATTACACAATGGTAATATAGTGGTGCGTTAAATAATAAAATGATAATTTGGTACCATTTGTATGATCTAGTACCTAGTTCTTTAGTAGTCTATATCTATATCCAGTTTATGTGTGCTCGTAGTTATGTCAGCTGTTGATAATAAATATGACACGCCCATTACTGGCTGCAAGAGCTGAGAATGAAATTAGTATATAATTTTTTTAATGAAGTTATTGTAATGTTCTATTTTTCAGTAGATCGTTTTGCCGGGTGGAGAGGGCTCGGGGGGGGGGGGGGTATTCTAGGAATAAACGTGGTGGTTGAGTTTCACATATCTGCGTCCTCTAATTTATTTGGAGTAAGAGTGATTGTGAGGTAAAATAACTACTGCTAATTCATGCCACTAAGAGAGCATACAACACTGGCGACGAGGATAATACTATTTGGGTGAGAGGAAATTATCTTGGAATGGAGATAAATAAGATACCGACGTTTGAACTGCTACTATCTGACCCGGCTACGTGCGGTCCCCGCTGGACGCGATGGCTGACAGCGTTCGAACTATGCTGATGGGAAAGGTCTTAATCGTTAACGAAGATACGGACAATACTACGAAGCAAAGGAGAAAGAGCGTTGTTACTTCACTCTGCCGGACTTTGATGTGCAGGACGTGTTTTCTACATTACCGCCACCGCGAGGAGTCACGGATTATGTTACAGCAGTGACAGCATTGAACACTTATTTCGTGGGCCCACAAATAAATTCAGCGTTTGCGAGACAGACATTTCACGCAAGATCACTCAGACACCAGGTGAGGACTGTGAAACAATTTGTCACACGTTTGAGGAAGGCGGCGAGAGACTAATTTTGGCAGCGATATTGAGAATCAGATCAGAGACAGTGTGCTGAGCAAGTGCTCGTCGGATTACGTTAGGAGGAAGCTGCTGGAAGAGAGGCCAGGCATTGACATGTAGGCCGTGCCATACAAGTGGCAGACCAGTGCGAGATGGTGGAGGGCCAAATGGCGGCACTTTCGACGGCAAATAGCGGCAAACAGAGTTGGTGAGAGGAGTGGAAACTGGAAGCCACAACAACAGAGAGCATGGAGTAAATCCGATAATAAGACTGTTACTGTTAGAGATAAGGCTTGTTATAGATGCGGATTAACTGGTCATTTTGGGAACGATCCGAAATGTCCAGCAAAAGGTCAGTCATGTAGAAAGTGCAAAGGGAAAGATAATTTTGCTAAAGTGTGTAGGACAAAGTCTAGGTCGGGGGTTAATTTAGTTAGTGAAAGTCCTAATGACCCCTGTAATACAGATTATGCATTCACTGTGTCTGGTTGTAAATCAAGTATGCTTACCACATGTGTTGGTGGTGTGGATTTAGCAATGTTGGTGGAATCAGGTGCGACCAGTAACATCGTCGATGAGGAAACCTGGAGGGATTAAAATCTAGAAAGATAAAGTGGCAAGTCTGTGGCTAGTACTACAGTGAGGAAACTGTATCCCCTATGGCTCT